TGGTGGAAAACACCGAAACGTTTTTTTAATTGATAAATAGACAATAAATGACTGAAGAACCCAGGATTTGATTTTAATTTGGAATTGAAACACAGTCAGGAAAGTACGTACAATTATTAATCCTGGGGAAAATTAATAATGGTTTCGTTTCAACTTTCAGAGCCGAAAAATCTCAGTCAATCCACTTAAACCCCATTTTCATGCGAAAAATTTCTGGATGTGCTTTCAAAATTGATGCTTAAAAAATGCCTTTGAAATGAGTGAATCGAGTGGAACTTGAAAACTGAGTTTTCCACTCAAAGTGTGGTTGATAGGGAGTTCTATTTTTTCAGTGGCTTTATTAATTTTAAATGTCCCAATAATAGCATTTTGGCACTTCCACTAACCAAATGGCTAAGATTTATACGATCCTCAGTGTTCTTAGTAAATTTTAAAGTTATCAACTGTGTTTGGTTTCGTCAATTTCGCGCTATGTAAGGCATGTGAAAATTGAAAAAGTTTTCAACAGTTTTTTATATTTGTATTGAGGATAAATTGGGCGCCGAATTTTTGGTACAAAGCATTTGCACTGAATTTTTCATAATCTACAGGTACTTTTTGTCAGCAATTTTCTCTGATTGAATCGGCAACAGATTGATTAAAAACCCATTCAATTCGCTTACTAATGACTAGAAACTAGACTAAAGCGATTTCTTTAATATTCGAATTCAGTAAAATCCGCTTGCATTGTTACCCGGTTTCAAAGAGCCTAATTAATGACAAATCGAATTGAAACTGAAATCCGGAAACTTCAAATGCACATAATTGATTGTACGAATTGTAATTCAAGTGCCGTTAGATGGGTGTTATTATGAATTTGAAATAATTATTATGAACGCAAATGCGGCAAAAATCCCTAATGGTTTTTCAGTTGAATAAAGATACGATCCGCAAAGATAACTTTACGGTATTTGTCGGGTGAGTGACTGATGCGTTCGCCATGTATTCAGTGTATGCGTATTTATAAATTGCACAATTTAAATGCATACATGTTCAAATAGCGGTAGAATGCTTTATTTACCGAGAGGCGATAATAATAATAATAATAATAATAACAGCGTCCGACACATTGCAAGGATATGATGTGTTGTTAATTTTTATTTTTGCGTATGATTTTCTCCCTGTTTTTCTCCTGCAAGTGCTACTTATAGCAATTGTCTATTTTCTATAGCTTAATATTCAATGTGCATTTCTAAACACTTGCAGCCTAATTAAACATGGAAACCATAATATTTATTAGTCGATCAATTGCTTCGTATTAATTGACGCTTGTGTGTGTGTGAATTCTCAATTGCTTCAAGGCTGAAATTGTCTGAAACTCGAATAGTGGTCGTCTAATTCTAGCACTTAAATTAACACCTCAAGACAATTAGAGTGATTCATTCTGGAGCCCAAGAAAGTGTGAACGAGCTAAACAGGCGATACTTTTGATAAATTAAAAAATAATTACTCTAAAATGCGACCTTTTCAATTTGAAATCCGTCACTGTGTTTTTTTATTATTGCGAAACGCAAATAATATGGCCATTATTCCCTGGGTGCCACGTGAAACGAGGGAAAGTATTTTCTTTTGGCATTTCAATATTGTTCTGAAGGTTTTCTTCAATCAAATATTTGCATTTTTCCCTTTGCGGAGCTTAAATGGTTTCATTTTCTACAGGGTGATTGAAAATTCATCTCATTCCCCTTGGGACATTTAGTGAGTGCACAAGTTACTTTTCCATTGACATTAAAATATTTCGGGGCCCCGATGTATTTAGTAGTATAAAATCCCCATCCAATACATAGAAGGCGCCTTCCGCTTCAACCCGATCGTACATAAGTTAACACATATTTACTTATTCCCCGGGTATTCGTACGCCTAAGTTAAGGGATAACGCGCTCTTAGTGCCTTCCCGTTTAATTAACTAAAAAGGTTAAGAGGCCCCATTAATATTTAGTAACTCTTAAAAAGGTTTTCATTAGGGCTCGGGTACAAATATTGATTGCGATTTCGCGGCCCGTTA